ACCTACTTTCACAAATGCAAACAATTGCTTAAAAATTGATGTTTTCATTGTTTAAAAACAGCGCATTGTTTACAATTTGAAAAAGAACTAGGCTATCGCGTTTATATGTGGTTACGTATTAAGCAGGTTGTTATGAAACTTAAATTCATATTGTACGCAGATATACGTACCTATAATTATATTAATTCAGATAAGAGAGCAGTCAGTTATTGTAACAAAAACAAACAAGTCTTATCGTAACCAATGTGCTAAATGCGAAAATAACATAGACATACCTATATAACCTATCACCCTATCAGCCATTTGCCATTATCCAACCGAATTGCAAAATGGTTAAATTTTAGTAAAGTCTTTGTATGCGTATACTTCTTAACGCGGTCGCGTTATACCCTCAACCTCCTTGTTTTCGTCGTCATATTTTTTTTTCAACGTTGCTAGCCCATTGGTGTAAAGGCTGTATCGAAGGCGGGACATGGATGTTGCAACATACGCCTTTTGTCACGTAATTACGACTAATGATAAATTATTTTAAAGCAAAATGCTCCAACCGCAATACGCAAAGTGACGAAGGAAGGAACTTATAAGGGCGTCAAGTACTAGTCTATTAAAATCAAAATCAAAATCATTTATTATTTGCATAAAACAGGTATAAAGGTGGTAGAAGAACATCATATAATACATAGGTACGCTGTAATATAACCTCTTAAAGGTGTGCAAATATTTAGTCATAGATATTTAAAAGATTATTATTTAGACGCTCAACATTACAAACACAATTTGAAGAATATATTCATGTCATAAATTTATTCAGAGAATTAATAATGTCAAGAGTGTTATGAATGCTATTAAGTCAGATCAATATAATAAAACCAAAAAATAATAATAAAAAAAAAACAACAATAATAATCAAATAGTCAAAATAATAAAAAAAAAAAAATGTCACATTGTCATGTTCAACATAAATTAAATAACAATGAACGAAATTAATTTGATTTACAATTTGTCTTGCAGAAAATCATTTACATTATAATAGCATTTTTGGCTCAGAATTTTTTTTAATGTCTGTTTAAAGATAGTCGGATTTGACTCCTTTATATTCCTAGGCAATTTATTATATATTTTCGGAGCCATGGCGAAAACACTGTTATGCATTAGAGCAGTGTTTGATTTACACAGGCATAGCCGGGATTTATCTCTTTGCATTCGGCCGTACGCATCAGAAGACAAAACAAATAAATTAGGATTTAGTTTGGCAAACATAGCTACCTCGAGTATATAAATGGATGGTAGTGTCAAAATATTATATTTTTTATAATAGGGCAGACAGCTGTCGGTTGATTTTAGAGAGAACATTGCCCTCACACAACGTTTCTGTACCTTGAATACTTTATCTTTATGTACAGAGTTACCCCAGAAAATTATACCAAACCTAAGAACTGACGCCACCATACCATGGTATGCAGTCAGAAGTGCATGAGTATTAATTACTTGTGACAATTCATGAAGTGCATACACTGATTTACTGACCCTCTTGCATATTTGTTCTACCTGTTGTTTCCATGTTAACTTATTGTCTATTATTACACCTAGAAATTTTGTGGAATCTACTTCATTTAAAGATTGGCCGTTAGCGCATATCTGTAGGTTTTTAATACTAGGAATACGCTGACTAAAATGCATGAGCATTGTTTTTCCTATGTTAGCTCTTAAATTGTTTACATCTAGCCAGTCGAGAACAGAGTTTAAAGCGTTATTTATATCATCATTATATGTATCCTTATTATTACATTTAATAGTAATTGTACTATCATCTGCAAATAGGGCTATTGGGTTATGGGTTACATTAGGTAGGTCATTAATGTATATTAGGAACAATAATGGTCCTAATACACTACCCTGAGGTACGCCATATTGTATTTTACGTGTTTCAGATTGATAGTATTCTTCTATTTTGGTAACACTATTAATTTTAGAAATTTGAGTATATTGAGTGCGATTTCTAATGTAAGACTCAATCAGGTCTAAGATATTGCCCCTTATGCCATATGAATTTAGCTTACTTAGTAGGGTATCATGACTTACATGATCAAATGCTTGGGTCATATCCATATATATGGAGCAAACAGGTATCTTATTGTCAACATTCTTCATTACAAATACAAGAAAATCATATATGGCCATGTTTATTGATTTATTACCTCTGAAACCCTTCTGTTATTTCGCCAGAATACAATTCCCTTCAAGGTAATCATTTAGTTCCCCATATATATATTTCTCAAATACCTTAGAGAAAATAGGTACCAGGGCTATAGGTCTATAGTTTTCTATATTGTCTCTATTTCCTTTTTTAAATACAGGTTTTATGATCACTGCTTTCAGTTTGTCAGGGAAAGCTCCAGCTGCTATACATACATTTATAATATGACAAATATGATGACAAATATTACCTGCCACAGATTTTATGACTCTAGTACATATTCCATCATACCCTACACTGTTAGTGTTCTTTAGGTTTCTTATAATATGCAATATATTAAAGGGTGAGCAAGCTTTCAAGAACATCGATTTCTGCCTAGAGGACACATACTTGGAATAAAGCAATTTATTTTTAGGATTATTCGGGACTCATTTCAATGGTTCCATGGCATTGGTCTAATGATCCTATCATTAATCAATTTTAAATCAATTAATCAATGAAAGAAGTTGTAGTACGAATGAGAGCGATATTTACTAATGATTCTTGATAACTAAGCATGAGCGTATTAAATTGCGACTGAGGTGTTACCTAATCAATAACAGTACTGTGATTTTTTTAAATGTCAATTATTTAGTTAAACATTTTTAAAATTAGTAATCAATATTTACGGACGGATTAAGAATACAGAGTGTCACCACCCCTATTCATTCCGTGGGTGTCGTAACAGCTGACTAAGGGAGAAAACTACGCAGAATAAAAGCAATATAGAGAGACGGAAAACTTGACACAAACCCTATACCAACCCGTCCGGCCAGCGTGGTATAGTTGGCCAAAACCTCCCTTCTAAGGAGAGGCTTATGTCCAGCAGTGGACTATTAAAGGCTGTTGATGAATCAATATTTGGTTTGCTTTCTTTTTGCATTTATGACATTGGATAGATAATTGCCCTTATCTTTCTTTCCCATGAAAATGTATGTTATTCATTGAGGACGGGTGACTGTTAAAATTATTTCACGTAATTTTATTTATATTTTACGGAACTTCATTTTTAACTTTGTCCTTTTCTGATTATAATTAGCTGAACAAGACAATGTTGCGATTAGTTTTGTGACGCTTATTTTAATTATAGAGTTTAACACAAATTCAACTAAACGTGTGCACTATTTTAGATTACACTTGGTATTTTCTAATACACGTGGTATTTTCTAATACACGTGGTATTTTCTAATACACGTGGTATGTTCTAATACACTTATTAGACCATCTACTTCGTATGTAATACCATTATAATTTCAAATGATGCGCTAAATAAGTATATTTTTTTTTATATTTATGCTTAAATTGTTAGAAAAGTCACTCGGCCGCACTTAATACAAAACCTATTAATATTTCTTACGTGTAAATTATTATATTATGTATATGTAGATAAACATATGCGAATAAATGTAGCTTACTATTTGTCGTAGATTTAAACAGTGCACAATACTACTTATAGTTACTTAAATTAATATTTATCTTAATAAAAAATAAAGTTTGAGTACTTAAAGTTACAGATCGCATCGCAGATGTTGACAACATTTATCATTACTTTGTAGTAAGCTTTTCATTCAAATAAGCATTATTTTGCTTGTAATTTAATAACTGCTAGACTTGATGTTTTTCATTTCAACCGCAATTTATAAGTAATAAAATTATTCACTTTAATATTTCTACATTTAATTACTAAAGATGTTGTCCACTTTTTGTATGGATATTGGTTTTGTATTCTGACTAGAGTCCATTGCGGCTCAAACTATACTGAAATATTAAACTAAAATTTATTTTGTGTTAGTAGATTTTCGGACGACTTCGGCGGATGGCAATACTAAATATACCATATACTATTGTCTAGTCAGTCACAAGATAAATCAAAAGCAAAAGTTTTGTTTGTATTTGGCATAAAAACATGCCAAGATAAAAACGACGTTTTCTCAAAATTGCAGTAATTTAGACTTTCAGTTTTATAAATTATAATATTAGTTCTTAGAAGTATATCTATAAATATTTGGTTCATTGCTATTGGTATTTTTCAAGGATAAAAGAACATTTCTGGACAAGTCCTTTACCTATATAAACTATGTTTTCCATTAGAAAACTTATACAAATTTAGCAAATGCAAACCCTATTTAAAAACACAACTATTAAATTATATTATGTTACATACGTCTACTTTAATGATTATAATTTACAGTAAATAATTTAAAAAATATTGTTGATACATTCAATTTTTTCCCTTAATAAAGTAGCAGCGTCTATGGGCCGCCTTATATCCCTACTACGCATCGCAGTCGCGCAGCGGCCATAATGCTATAAATACCACAAGCGCCACCGACGTCACGTAGTCGAAATCGAGAGGTGAAGGTGCGAATAATGGAGAGGTGGCGTCCATATTGTATTCTAAAAATCGATCATCATAAGAGCTAGCAGAGCGACCGCCGACGTTATTAGTCGTGAAAGTGAAGCAGTGCAGTGTTTCGACGTGTCATCCCAGCAGATCGACAGCGGTTCGAGGCCGACCCCGGCGGATCGCAACGATTGAGAGAACAGCCACATAGTCTCGCCGCGGCGACCATTTTGTGAAACATCAAGCTCGCGAGGACGCCGCGCGATTTAACGGCGGAGCCTACCACCGACTGAAACAAACGGTGCCCGTCTACATAATCTCAACATTCTCAAGAATATTAGTGTACGTGTTAATAAGTGTCGTAGCGACATAAAAAAAAAATTATAAGAGGAACGTCGTCAGGCGGCTCAGCCTCAAGCTATGAACCGCACGGCTCCGTCATGCGCTGCGGCCACCCTGGGCGTACATCCAGCCCGCGGGCGGCGCAGATGTGCGCTACGGCGCTCCGGCGCACGAGACGAGCGCACGGAGCGCTACGCGGCGAGCAAGTGGGGCGCAGCACCATCCGCCGCAGCGCTCCCGCCCCCGCCGACCCACTGGCGACGTGAGGGTCGCTGCCGACCGGAGCCCGACCGTGCATTGCCACTCAAGCTGCTCCTCAACGTCATGGCGTAGAACGCCGCTGTTGTACGCCGCCTTATGGACTCTAAGCTGCTAGTGTTAAGAATGGTGCGCGGGTGCGACGGAGTAAAGGACAATGTCCCGCAGCTCCGTCGTGCCGACTTTTTTATTTTGAGGGGCGAGTCGCGGCCGTCTGCGGGCAACCCCGCAGGCGGCCGCGACCCGCAGCCGACCAAATTCCGGCGTTAGGTATTATTTTGTGAAAATTTTAGTAGGTAAGTTTGTGTCTCGCTCTCGCGAGCGCCGGGACCTCCTTTCTCCGTTATAAACTTCAGAAAAACACAAAAAAATAAACGGGGTCGAAGTGCCGGGGTTCTCGAGCTCGAGACGGCGACGCGGGCCGGAGTCAGCTCGGCGGCGTCCCTTTATTTTGCTCGGGCTGCGCCGCCGGTCCCAGCTCGCGCCGGCCCGCGATGTCAGATCGTATCGTTTATTTATCTGAGAGCGATGTTTATTTGAGCGGCGGACCCCACTCGGGCGGGAAGAACTCGCCGTCATTTAGCTTTAAACTTTGTGTGAGGAGTGCGGGACCGCCGCCCTTAGGTGTAGATTTTAAATTATCACGATACGGTAAACGTGATACCGACTGTTGAAGATTGGGAGTCTATTATTATATATGTTTGTACAGTTAGAATATTGATCTCAGCTGCGGCAGCCAGCGGCCCAACTTGTCTAGGAGCTTTCTGTGATGTACAAAAAAAAAATGGTATATTTGGAATTTTACAAGTTTTTTATAATTAATTTGTAATGTATACTTTTAAGTGAAGAAGTGAGGTGCCCGCTAGACTGTCCGCAGCGTCCTGTTCCCACCTTGTCCCCATCCCTTGTTCCTGTCCTGTCCCAGGGCTCTTCGGAGCCCGCCATATGGTTCAGAGTTTCTGACAGATTAAGTCAACAATATTCACTCTTTGAGTGAATAACCTTTTTTAGCTCAAGCTCAAGACTGAAGAACTTTAACCACAAGACCTTACAAGAAAGCTGGGAAGATCAACACCAAGAAAGAATTTGCAAGACCATGAAAAGATGTCGGATAGAAATCTAGCAAGAATGCAAGTTTGCAAGAAGCCTGGAATAATGGAGTAACACATTTTGGTATGAAGACTTTTTATTATTATTATTTTTTCTTTTTCTTTATGATAAGACAACACCTGCACTAGGAATATATCCTGTGTCTTTAGTCTTTACACACATACATGAAACAGACAAAGAACACCCAGACTCACAACAACAATTTGTGGATCACACAGTGTCATCCCATGTGGGGTTTGAACCCACAACACTCGGTGTAGTAGGAAGCGGCGTGGCGATCGCTTAAACCACTACACCATCCGTGCAGTTATTTAAAGACATAATTAACATTTTTAATCATTTTGTGGCTGTGGCTGAACAGTAAAATACCTCAAATAGGATATGAGCTTGGTATATAAATAACTATTTAGTCAAGTACCACATTAGGTTTATAGAGCTTTAACTGTTCATATGCCGAGACAAGTGCTTTCACCGAGCTTGGTATATAAATAACTATTTAGTCAAGTACCACATTAGGTTTATAGAGCTTTAACTGTTCATATGCCGAGACAAGTGCTTTCACCGGTAAGCACTGTACAGTGTAGCGGTATTTCAGAGGTTAATTCTCAAAGAAAGTCTTAACAGTGAGAACGGTTACAAAATTTTTAAACAAGCATTTAACATGGTCTTTTAGATATCTTCTTATCCATATTTTTCTAGGTTATGGTTTTATGTAATGCTAGCTGTATTGTAATGCTCCTCTGTGGCACAATCTCATTGCATTGATCAGTAATAAGTGGCATGACAAATAGAAAAGAACAATCTAAGACAGCCCCATGGCGTAGTGGTTTGTGTAACGGACTGCTGTGCCAAAGGTTGCTGATTCGATTCCTGCTCAAGACAAACATTTGTGTGCATGAACATGTTATGTATGATTTGGTCTAGGTGATATGTATTTACAAAAAGAAAGTATATATGTATTTATATCAGTTGTCTAGTAGCCATAGTACAAGCTCTGATTAGTTTGGGACTAGATAGCACTGTATGAATGTGGTAACAGAAAAAATTTAAGGTGGTTGTATATAGTGGCCAAATTTGAGCTTAATTGGTGCAGAACAAATGTACACAGACCAACTTAATATTTATACATCTTATATATAAAATTCTCGTTTCACAACGTTAGTTACCATACTCCTCTGAAACGATTGGACCGATTTTTATGAAATTTTGTGTGCACATCGGGTAGTTCTGAGATTCGGCCAAAATCTATTTTTCACACCCCTAAATGACAAGGGTTACCCATCCCAGAATATTTTTATTTAAAAAAATTCCAAGGAATAATGTATATGGCAAAACAACGTTTGCCGGGTCAGCTAGTATAGATGTAGTATTTTTAAATCAATGGCAATAAACCACATGACGTTCTTCACTATTGTATAATCAAAGAGGCAATAGTGATTAGTGATTCAGACGGAAAAACAAGGGGTTGTGAGTTCCCTTCCAGAACAAATAATTATGTGATGCCCATGATTATTTATGTCTAGGTGTAATTTATCTATAATAGCTGGTATCTACAATTTCATTTGCATGGAATTTGAAAAAGACGGCCTTAGTGGGTTCGATGCCCAGACCGTGCAAAATTTTAAAGGGTTTTCCGAGAGGTAAAGTAGACTAAGTTTTACTCCTTATATAGCAAAATATTATCAAAATCGGTCAAAGATTACCCAGAACAGACAGACAGACAAAAAAAAATAAACTGGTTCTTAGGTGTAGGTATTATGCAAATAACCGTGTGAGCATAGAAAAAACCTATAATTTTGACTTTAGAAACAGACACCTCAATTTTATTTATTTGTTTAGATATGTATGTATTTAAAAATATATAAGTATGTTTATCAGCAGTCTGGTCACCATAGCACAGGCTCTGCCTAGTTTGGGATCAGACTAATGTATGAAGTTATTAAATATGTTCTAATAGGGATTAAAATATACCAAATTTGAATGGGACCAAACGAAGTACACCTTAAAAAAAAAAAAGATTTTTTAAAATCAGTTTTCAAATGGAGTTCTGAAATACAAACTTAAATAATTCCAATTAAATTAAAAACCTCCTTTTTTGAAGTCTGTTAAAAACACATGCTACCATACTCTTATGGGAACTGTTTTTACTTATTAATGCCAGAGAATAAAATAAAAAAAAACTTCATTTAGAAGACATTAAAAATCAGGAGTTAGCTGAATTCTTCTTCATATTCTTTGTAAAATGGAATTACTAGAATTTGACTCGTAATAGTTCCGAGATTAACGAATAAAATACTCATTGACTTTAGTATATTAGTATACATTATAGAAATTAATCAATTACATTTAAACGGGGCACAAATGTATCACAATTTATGGAAACCTTTTGGTTGACCAGACAGGATCACAAACCATTACACTGATGGTTAAACTCTTTATTAACTTATTGGTTTCAAAAAAGTTTTATTTTGTTAGTTTTTAAACATTATTTCCAACTAGCTGGTGCCCGCGACTTCGTTCGTGTGTAATTTGAAAAGCGCTGCCTTAGTCACCACTATCAAACCCACCGGTTTGATTCCCGGACTGGGCAAAATTTTAAAGCCTTTATCTTAGAGGAAAAATAGCCTAAGTTACTCCTTACATTGACAGCTACCTTGTAGTATAATATTATCAAAATCGGTCCAACTGTTTAGAAGGTTATCCGTAACAGACAGACAAAAATATTTAAACTGGTTTTAAGGCATAGATATCGTGCAAATAACCGTGTGAGCATGTTTTTTATTTTATTTATTTTTATGTATAGATTGGAACATCATACACTAACGAAAATAATTGACTGGATCTCAATTACAGTTGGCCAAATTTTTATTTTTTCCTTCATAAAAGTTTATCCAGAAGAAAGAAACGGTGCGTTTTTAGATAAAGAATTTACTTCTTGCAGTAATTTATAGTCAACTTACAATAAGATGTGCAATATTGACTAAATAAGGAATTAACAATATTTATTGTTACAAAGTTTATCTTTTTACGTTAATACAACATTTTTCCATTATTCGTACTACTCACGCCTTCTATCTCCGAAGGTGTAGATAGAGCTGTAATAAAACACTAAAATTTTGATTTCAAACATTATTATTTGCACAATTTTACATTTCATTGTTTTAAATTAATTAAATTGTCCCTTAATCACACTTCAATAATTTAATATAGAAATAATACCGCCATCTTGTACACTTTTTTACAAATACTATGCACGTAGTATAAACACAACTTTTATCACAGTCAGATTAAACATTTCCTCAAATAGTATTCTATATTCAAGAACAACGCGTTACATTCACGAAAAATATCTAAAGGAAATGGCGTAACCTTGAATGAAATTATATCGGCTGATAAGGTAAATAGTAAATGCCATGATGAGGTGCAATCGTAATAAACGAATGTGACTAATCGAAAATGTAACGGTATTTGTATACGTATATGTGACGATATGCAATTGTTACGTATACGTATGCTTCTCAATTTCCACTTTCGGATACTAAATTTTGCGAAGCTAATATAATTCCGTCAATGCTATAATATAAACGTCATCCGGTGGACAAGCTGTCAGAAATTCAGAATTAATTTGTAGAGCTGTGGTTAAGCCAAAGACAATTGTAGAGGTGTAGCTAGATTAATTTTCAACTTTTTAGTCTCGGGACTTAATACACGAATTAAGTTTTGAAAATGACATAGAAATAATAGATAAACAAATATAAATCTCTAGACTGTTATGATCTCTCTCTCTCTTACGCTTGTAATCCAATTAACTGTAGCTACTTATCTCTATTTATTCATAAATCGATTAGTTTCGTAGTATCCAAGTTCTTCTATTTGTTGTAGATGTCATATCTAATATTGACAGTTATTAAATAAATATTAGTTAACCAATTATACAATTAAATTATTTATGTGTACAAACTAAA